AATATACATATAAATCAATATACATATAAATATATATATATATACCATGTTGATTGTATAATTACTGCATTAATAACAGACAATATTTACTGAGCAACGCTATACCACGTATGGAACATATAATATTAGGAAACCCTACGTAATAGCAATATTCAAAGGGACAACAACGGCTGCTGCCTGGATAGTTGCGTTTGTCAATATATAGGCTTCCTCGTACATCGTCTAGCATCTATATGAGGTCAAGGTCGTAGCTTAATCACTGCACCATCGGCCGGACACAAACCTGGAGGTAATCCATCACCACACGAGGGCGCCTCTGTATGGAGCCCATCGCGGTGGCGCCAGCTACGCGAGCAGCGAGACGCCTCTGGATGCTGCGCTGTACCTGAGGGAGGTCGAAGAACCGTCTCCATGACGACGCATCCTCTGCCGGCCGACCTGCACAGGAGTAGTACAGCAGTTGAACGCTATTGTTTACGCGAATATTTCTCACGCTCAGTACTGCTCTTTTAAGCCCGTCTCTGTAACCGTACGTGTGCGCAGCAATAATATCTCGTGCATGCTGGCGGATTCTAGAGCATAAAATACACCGTGCATACATTAGCAAAGGCATATATTCAACCTGTACGAACAGTCTATTCTGTGTACATAGCAATACAAATAAGAATCAGTATAGATTCAGAAGTGATCTCACTGGTGCATAATTGCATGTACTCCATCACTATTTGCAGCACAAGTACAGAAATCAGTGCATAACTGTGTGGAGGATAGCAGCACAGACTAGCACATGCTCTGCATTACGTGTTCTCGTTCATGACTATCACGACCACACGATGACAGCACGTGTCAGTCTACCAGGGTACCTGGTTGTGGAAGATGTGCATGCTTCGGCGGGATGCTGCGATTGCGAGAGACCGCCACCGCGTTGTCGTCTGTGAGATTCAGCATCAAGCCGCTACAGCTAAGCGTGTCCGAGACCTGGCTCAGGGATGCTTCTGAGACACGACTGAGGGATGTCTCGGAGAAATGACTCAGGGATGCTTCCGAGACATGACTCAGGGATGCTTCTGATAGGAAGCTTGAGTCTCCACCTCTCAGATCGTCTGTGTTCACCTAACATAGGGCAGCATTGCTAGAGTAAGCACATGGCGGAAACTTGGTGCATAAACACATCGTAAACACAGTGTTCAAATGGTGAGCACATTGTAATATATCAAGAGCTAATAATAGGTATTATTAGCTCTTGATATGTGTGTGTATTTATATATGTCCAACTTGACCCTGATTGCTAGTATTATCATATTACTTTGTATGTTCTAAATACATCTAATTATGCAATTACGTAAATGTTATATGTTATATTGATTTGTTAAATCTAATTCTAAATTAGAAATATATTATTCATGTATTAACCTAGAAATCATTGGTAAGAAACCACATTACATATGCTAATCCAGTGTATTCTTAAATTTAACCAATATCTATATTCAATGATCTATATCCAATATCTATGATGATCTATATTAATATCTTATGATCTATATTCAATATCTATATCCAATGACGAAATGCTGTTTTCCTTCAGTGCACACTTATTCATCTTCATGCCCATTTGCGATTAGTTAAATTTTAATGGCGGTGTCACGTTGTGTATCCATGTTGATAATTATTGCAAAATCTTTTTTGCAGGAAAGTTGAGCACACATGAGAACTTGCACAAGGGAGAAACAGAATATATTCGAGCTGTGCGATGCAATCTACTCACTTACGGATGCAAAACCTTGAAGGACAGAAGCACTTTTTATGCATGTGAATACATAATATTCTATTAGCTGAACCTTATTAGCTGAACAGTCCTCAGAGACACATGTACATTCAAACTGAAATGAAGCCATATGTGTGTGATACGTGTGAAGGCAGGTTTATAACCTCTGATGGTCTCGACTTACATAAGCTCACTAACACAATTGATAAACCGTTCGCGTGTGATAAATGTGGATACAAGACCTTTCGGCCAAGTGCTATCCAGACACACATCATGCGTATGCATACAAATGAGAAGTGCTATCTGTGTGATATATGCGGACATAGGAGCCTTACATTAGAATACCTCAAGATACACATGCGCACTCACACAAATAAGAAGCGATATGTGTGGATAGAGATGTAATAGTGGTAGTGCTCTTGTGAAACACAAGCGCACCCACACAGGAGAGAAGCCATATGAATGCAGTATGTGTGAATTCAAGTGTAGCCAATCCACTGGTCTTCGTCGGCACATGGTCATTCACACAGGAGAAAAACCGACTTCATGTTCCTTATGTGAACTCGGGTTTATTAGTCCTCATCATCTGCGAAGACACATGCGCGTTCACACAGGAGAAAAACCCTACACGTGTAATATGTGTGATTATACGAGCTCTGAGGCTGGTAATCTGCAGACACACATGCGCACTCACACAGGAGAGAAGCCCTATGCTTGTGACAGATGTGATACAACTGTTCTCACTCTGTTAGTCTGCGAAAACACATGAGCACTCGTCATGAGAAGCATATTATGTGATGCACGTACATGCATATGCAAGTTTGACTGCAATATATACATTTTGAAGTAAAGAACCGATGCTAGTCGTGCTATAATTTGCTGCAACTGTCTATTATATTGTTAGCGAAATAACGCGTGCATAGTATTTAGACATTTATATTTTGTATTTGCCAATGATAAATCGTAACTTGAATAAGTTGTTGCCTTATCCTCTACTCTCTTGTTAACTCACTTCTTGTCATTGTAAACACCATCTACTAGCATCTTTCGACAAAAATTTGAAGAAGGAGATGCAGCTAAAGGGTGTGGGGGGCGTAGGAGATAAGGGAAGTATTCCTTATGCCTGGGACTAAACTAGCCTAGATATACTGCTAGGCAAAAGCGAACACTGCTAGTTATACCATCATCGTATTAGAGCTAGCATTTAAGACGCATGCACGCGTGCACTTACGCAAACAAATGCACGCACGCACGCACGCAGTGGCGCGCATATATGCCACACACGCATGTGCGGGGAGAGGTGCACTGTAGTTACCACGGTTATAACCGCCATCCTATCGTCAGACCCGATGGTAACATCGGATAGACCATTAAATTATGTCCTAGAAATTGTACAACCTGATGCTGTGCCAGGGCCCAATAGCCTTCCTTAGATAAATGTGGCAAATTTTGGCACAACTTGTAAACTTGTAATGTTTGTGTTAGAACAGAAAGTGCGGTTGTATGTTATATATTATATATGTTATATATTATTCATCGTGTTATGGAACACATAAGTAAAAGAGATAACGAACATTACAAATTTACAATTTCTGTTCAGGTGTCATAGTATTTTTGACAAAATAAATGTGATAAAATCTATTTCAGAAGCTGATAATGCATAGCAAGTGTTTTTTGATATAAGTAAGATGTTATTAGTCGCTATCTATCTCCTCCCTCTCAGTCTCTCTCTATCCCTCTCTCTCTCTGTCTCTCCTCTCTCTCTCTCTCTCTCTCTCCCACTATCTCTCTTCTCTCAATATATATGTATCTCTCTCTTGTTTCTCTCTCTGACCTTATATCGTCTCTCTTCGCGCTTGTCTCTCCTCTCTCTCACCGTCCTCCTCTTTTTTTGCTTAGAAATCTTACTCAGAAATCACTCAAGCATTTGTTACACAGCAGCCA